ACAGGGAGATCCAAGGAGATCCAGAAACTCAGGAACCCTGAGTGTCTGCCATCTTGTCAGCTAAACTCAGGGACCTGACACCTGGGTATATGGGAAGTCCCCATGTAGTTGCGGCGGGTGCATTCCTAGAAGCCTTCCTGGAAGGGAGGGCTGAGGATAGTCCCTCAGCAGGAAATGCGGAAACAAGGGAGATGAGTCAGCAGGCCAAGAGATGATCCTGGGGGGATAAGGAAGAGAGAGAACCCAGGGGCTGGGGTGTGGGGGCCATCTCAGAAACTCACTCAGGAAGTCAGTCTCCCCTGGCTCTGTGCTCAGGAGTAATCCCTGGTGGTACCTGGAAGTGGGTCTGCTGCATGTCTGTACTCTCTCTCCCTTGCCAGCCAGTTCCTTTTCCTGCCCTCGGCTATAGGTCCCGGAGCTTGGACTCCATGTTCCAAGTCCCGCCCCTCCCCAAGCTCCACCTTGCAGGGCATGGGTGCCTTGGGGGGGCCTTTAGGGAGGAGGGGGTCCAATTCTGATCACTGGGGTCTGGAGCTGGGGGGGGGTCACACTCAGACGCTCTGGACCAGGGAATTTAAACCGTCAAAGAGCAACCTGGAACCAGCGTGACCCAGAGAAATCCCCCTGGGTCTGCAGAAATCTCTGAAAGGAGCATAGCCCCCAAAGTAGAGAGAGTATGGGGAAAATTGTCTGCCATAGAGGCAAGGGAAGGGCTGGGATGGTGGGGGAGGAATACTTGAGACATTGGTGGTGGAGAATGTGCACTGGTGGAGGGATGGGTGTTGATCATTGTATGAAACTCCAACATGAAAGCTTTGTAACTGTATCTCACAGTGATTCAATAAAAAAAAAAAAAGAAAGTAAGTAAAGAAAAAAGAAAGAAAGAAGAATAGCCTGGAAACACCACTTTTATTTTTGGGCCACACCTGGTCATGCTCAGGAATCATTTCTGGTGGGCTTGGAGGACCATATGGGATGCCAGGGATTGAACCCAGGTCAGCCGTGTGCAAGGTGTGCCCTACACACTGTCCTATTGCCCCAGCCCTAGGTGGAGGTAGTCTTATATAGAGCTAGCCTGTTTTTGGAGTTGGGGCCATCCTAGTGATGATCAGGGCTCTTACCCTATCTACAGGGATCACTCCTGGCAGTGCTCTGGGGACCACATGGGATTTTGGAGAGAGAACCTGGGTCAGATGCATGCAAGGCAAACACCCTCCCTACTGTACTATTGCTCCAGCCCCCTGCAGAGCTGTCTTTTTTTTAATATATATTTTTTCTTTCTGGGTCATACTTGGTGATGCCCAGGGTTTACACTCCCCAATGTGCCATCACTCTGCCCCCTAGAGATGTCTTAAGGAGGAGGGGGACCAGAGATGACATCTGGGAATGGGAAGACAATGGAAGGCACATGGAAGGAGGAGAGGAGAAAGTACAGGAAGAGGAGGAAGAAGACGAGGAGGAGAAGGAAGGGGAAGGGGAGGAGGAGGAGGTGGCGGCAGTGGTAGCTCTGGTAGAGAAAATGACCTACTAGTTGGAGGAAAGGTCTGGAACAGCAGCAATGAGCAGGGAGGGGAGGAGGAACATTCGCCTTTAACCTGGTTACTTCTAGACTCAATAGAACAATAGAGAGAGGAGATATGGGGGGGGAGGATCCTGACTCTCAAAGCCCTGGGTGGCAGGAAAAAGGTGTATGTTGAAGGGATCTCTGGAGAGAAGGGGAGCAGAGGAGTGAGGAAGCTGTAGCTGGCTGGAGAGACATCTCCCAGGGTGAGAGGCTGACGCCAGGGATTTTCTAGGCAACCCTATTTGTCTCTGTGCCCACTCCCCTGCCCGTGGGAAACTCAAGGCAATGTGGTTTCAGAGCTTTGGGGCAGAGCCTAAAACAGCAGAGGTGTAGAATGAATACCTGTGTATGGATGGATGGATGGATGGATGGACAGACAGATCAATGGATGGATAAACAGAAGGACAGATGAATGAGTGAATTGGATGAGTGGATGGACAGACAGGTGGACGGACAAATGTATGTATGAATGGATGGATAGATGGGTGGAAGAATGGATGGATTGATGGATGGGCGGATAGGATAGATAGATGGACAGATAGACGAATGGATGGATGAATGAACAGATGGATGGATGAATGGGTGAGTGGATGTATGTATGAGTGAGGAGTGAATGGATAGATGAATGATGGATGGACAGAGGGATGGACGGCTAGTTAAACCTTTCTCCCTGTTCTTTGAGTCCATGATTCTACAAATGCAGTATGCACCGAGGTCTACTTGGATAAGGGGTCATCCCCAAGCTTTTGCAAACTCCCCGCCCCTCCCCCTACCCAGGCAGACAAGTCTTTGAGGGCCCAGAGTTCACACCCCCCTTGGAGATCTGGGAACCAGTGGTAGACAGAGTAGTGATCCCCCCAAATAGCCACACTCTAATACCTGGAATCTGTGGTCACATGATTCACAGGGCAAATGTGAGTAAATGAAGGAACTGGAGATAGGCAGATGACACAGATGACCCATGTGGCCTGGGCCACACCCAGCGTGCCCAGGGGCTACTCTGTGTTCAGTGTGGGGGACCTTGTATCGCCAGGGCTCCTGCATGTACAGCTGGTGCTCCAGCCCTTTGAGGCCTCTCCCCTGCCCACATCCTTGAAAGGAAGATGAAGAGGGGTAGGACCAGGACAGGATACCTTGAGGGCAGAGTCTGTGTGATTCCAGGCCCAGAAATACAGGCAGCTGGAACAGCTGGGAGAAAAAAGCCAATTTGGGAGGGGGAAAACAGAGTTGGGTCCTCTCACCTGTCAGCTGAGTTTCTGAGCCTTCTGCCTCCTGGACTGAGAGCCTTGATGTTTGTCAATGTAGTCATCTAAGCAGGAAATCCAATGCATTGGGGACTCCACCTTTTTTTCTTTTAGCTTTTTGGGTCATACCCAGTGATGCTCAGCAGGGGTTACTCCTGACTCTGCACTCAGGAATTACTCCCGGTGGTGCTCAGGGGACCATATGGGATGCCGAGGAATTGAACCTGGGTCGGCCAGGTGCAAGGCAAATGCCCTACTTGCTGTACTATCGCTCCAGCCCCCTTTTCTTTTCTTTTTGGGTCACACTCAGCAATGCTCCAGGTTACTCCTGCTCTGCACCAGGAATCACTCCTGGTGGTGCTATGGAATGCTGGGGATCAAACCTGGGTCAGCCGTTTTCAAAGCAAACACCTTCCCAGGTATACTATCGCTTCCTCCCAACTTTGTTTTATTGGAGGGGGGATGGATTCTGGGTCATACCTGGCTCTGTGCTCAGAAATCACTTCTGGCAGGGCATGGGGGAATCTTATGGGGAATGAGGGCTTGAACCCTGGTCAGCCATGTACAAGGCCAGCACCTTAGCCACTGTACTCTCTCTCCAGCCTCCTGGAGACTTGCTTTACTTTATTTTTTCTCTTTTTGTGTCACATCCGGCGATGCACAGGGGTTACTCCTGGCTCTACACTCAGGAATTACTCCTGGTGGTGTTCAGGGGACCATATGGGGTACTGGGAATCGAACCTGGATCGGCCACATGTAAGACAAATGACCTACCCGTTGTGCTATCACTCCAGCCCTTAATCTACTTTTGTTTTGTGATCACTTAGCAGTTTTCAGGGCTGACTCATGGCTCTGTGCTCAGGAATCACTTCTACTGGGCTTGGGGGACTGAATAGGGGGTCCAGGGATTGAGCCCAGGTTGGCTGTGTGCAAGGCAGGTGCTCTCTGCTCACCGCACTCTCTCTCTGACCCAGAGACGCCATCCTGCTCTCCACATCTAGATGGCCTTTTTCCTTTCCTTTTTCTTTGGCTTCTGTGCCACAGTCAGTGGTGCTCAAGGGACCAAATAGCGCTGGGGATCGAGCCTGGGGCTCCCACAAGCAAAGCATGTGCAAAACCCTTTGAACCTCTGCCCAGCCAGTTTGATGTCTGGAACCATGTGGTTCCCCAAGTGCCACAGGGAGCAGCCCAGAAGGCACTGAGCACTACCAGGTATGGCCCTCAGACCCATACATTAACTTGCTGCCACTAAGAGCTGAGCCCTGGAGCACTGTTTGTGGTCATCCTGCCCATCCACCCTAATCCTGAACTAGGAGATAGTGGAAGGGCTGGAGTGTTCCCTCAGCCCTGGGCTCTATCCTCAGTGTGGCAAGAGCCCATGTCACACAATCCCAGCATGGCCGAGCAGAGTGCCACTGGGCCTGTGCAGTACCACAGGACAATCTGTTAGGCTAGCACTACTGAGGGTTACCGCAGTAAGTGACTTCCACACCTCCCCACTAAGCCCCCCATGATCCAAATGCTAATTCCAAGAGTTCAACACTAATAACCAGCATAATAGCAGCCAACACCTGTGAAGCGCCCAGGCAGGAACTGCCAATCAATGTGAATTACAATAAACAATGTAGAAAACAATATATATATTTTTCTTTTTTTGGGTCACACCTGGCGACGCACAGGGGTTACTCCTGGCTCTGCACTCAGGAATTACTCCTGGCGGTGCTCAGGGAACATAAGAGATGCTGGGAATCAAACCCAAGTTGGCTGCGTGCAAGGCAAACGCCCTACCCGCTGTGCTATCGCTCCAGCCCCCAAGAAAACAATGTTGATGAATCTTTCCTATAACTTTACAAGTTGGGTCCCCTTATAAATCTCATTTTACAGAGGAGGAAACAGAGGTTCAGAGAGCTTGAATAACTTGCTCAAGGTCACACAGCTAAGAAGGTGCAGAGCCACAATTCAAACTTAGACATTTTGGCCCTGGAATCAGCTGGGGCTGTTTCCCTTTCCCAACATAATCACAAGGCCCCCAATTCCTGGAAATGGGGTTCACTGACCCCTCACGCACCTCTCCCTTCCCAGCTACCACCCCCAATTGCTGCCCTCTGAGGCTGAGGCAATAACCTGGGGTGCCTCACCACAGACCTTCAGGCCCCCCCCAAACCAGCCCCCTAGCCCACATCTGCGCTGACCCTGCCTTGAGCTGCGTGAGCGCCTCCTCAACGCGGGGTTGGTTGTAGCGAACCATGTAGCTGTGCATGTCGGGGTAGTTGCTGCGGATGTTCTTCTCCGTGGACCCGTTGGGCACTGTCCCAAACTTCAGGGGTGGGTATTGCTCCTGGGGCCGCTGGAACTGGGGCAGAACAGGGGGGAATCAGGAGGGGGCCCCTCCCCTTGCCATCCACGGGCATCCATGCAGAGGATGTGTTCCATCCACCCAATTGCTCCATTCTGGGGAAGCCCACCAGGGGTGGATGCCCTGGCCCACAAGGATCTGCCAGTCAGCTGTGGAATTCACGTTTCTCCCCACCAGCCGCCAGGGACCTCAGTAGTTTTTTATTTATTTATCTATTTGTTTGGCTTTTTGGGTCACACCCAATGATGCTCAGGGGTGAGTCCTGGTTCTGCACTCAGGAATTACTCCTGGCAGTGCTCAGGGGACCCTATGGGATACCGAGGATCAAACCCGTGTTGGTTGCGTGCAAGGCAAATGCCCTTCCTGCTGTACTATCGCTCTGGTCCCCACCAGGTCTTTATTTTTATATTTTTGGCTTTTTGGGTAATAGCTGGTGATGGTCAGGGATTACTCCTGGCTCTTCACTCAAGAATTACTACTTCTGGTGGTGCTCAAGTACTGTATGAGATGTGGGTGATCAAACTTGTGTCGGCCTTGTGCGAAGCAAATACCCTCCCCGCTGTACTATTCCTCCGGTCTCCCAGCAGCTCTTTAGACACCTGTGCCCAGATGTGTATGCAGATACCCAGGTAGACATTATCAGGAGTAATTTTTTTTCTTTTGGATCACACCCAGAGATGCACAGGGGTTACTCCTGACTCATGCACTCAGGAATTACTCCTGGCGGTGCTCAGGGGACCATAGGGGATGCTGGAACTCGAACCTGGGTCGGCCACGTGAAAGGCAAACACCCTACCTGCTGTGCTATCGCTCCGGTCCTTCAGGAGAAATCCTGAACCATGATACACCCAGTGTGGCTCAATCATGGTGCACTTAGTACAGAGACCCCTGAACTGACTGCTGCACTCAGCCAGAGTTCAGGCCCCCCACTCCCCCACCCCCCAGCCATTATTCCTTCACGAGCTGGGTCCCAGGAGATTCCAAGGCTGCTAATACAGGTTGAGGGGCAGGGGTATGCATGATCCCTCCAGCAAGAGTTCCCCATTTTAGCAACAGATAGAGCCAGAGAGGTGTGTGCTGCTGTGGGGGCAAGTGCATACAAGATGGAAAGAAAAATTTGGTCAAAGCTTGTTCACCCTCATTATGTAAGACGCAAATATTTTTCTATGCTGTTTTGTCCCAATCCATTAAAAAAAGTAAATAAATAAATGCTTGCTGCAATCCAGAGAATTGGTTTCTCCTCCTGGCAAGCATTCGTGACACCCAATTAACCGTTTCCACCTCAGCATCCTTTCATCTGCTCCACAGATCACCAGTTCCAGAAAGAACCTTAGTGCAGGAGAAGGGAAGAACAGAGATGACGAGTGCAGGACTTTAGCACAATGAGAGAGAATGATTATTTGGAGGAGAAGTGTTGGAGGGTGTTGGTCCACACCCAGCTCTGCTCAGGGATCACTCCTGGTGGTGCTCAGAGAAACATAGGGTGTCGGGGCAAGAACCTAGGTCAGCTGATTGCTGGTAAGTACCTTCCCAGCTGTATTACCTCTCTCTGGCTCTGACAGAATGATTTTATGTTGATTAAACCTAGTAACATAGAACTTTGGGTCTGAATTTTGCATGTCGTGGTTTTAAATTTCATTCTGGGGTGGGGGTGGGGAAGATTTGCTGACTCATTTCTCTTGCATTTTCCAAGAGAATCAGTGTGCATTGGATTAGCAATTTCAAATATTAGTCCTTCATCCCAGTTTTTTGCCAAGTGCCAGTCTCAGGGGCAGGTTTAAATAGTTCCTGGAGTGACATACACCACCTTCTGCCACTATAGTCTGTTACACAGCCCTGAATCTCCTTCTGGGAAGATACCCCTGTTCCCCCAAGTTCAGCTATTTCCCGGCCTGTCCCAGCCACCCACACACCTTTCGATCACTGAGCCCAGACACCGTGTCCACATACTCCTCCTGGATCATGAAGGCGGCCAGGTTGGCTGTGTAGCTGGCGAGGAAGATGACGGCAAAGAAGGCCCACACCAGTACCATGATTTTGCTCGTGGTACCTCGCGGGTTCTCCACGGGCACCGAGTTATTGAACACCAGGGCCCAGAGCAGCCAGATGGATTTCCCGATGGTGAAGGTCGAGCCGCCAGGGCCTGCAGGGGGCCAGGAGGGGGACATGGAGCCCAGTTCTTGCCTGCTCAAGGCAGTTCCAGCTAGAACTACAATTCCCAGTTCTGTTCACCCGAGGTGGCAATAGAACTCTACCTCAGGGACTGATGGGAGTGTAGTTCTAGCCGCAGTCCCTGGGCTTCTAAGGGAAGGGCAGGGGACTCACGTTTGCCTGTGGCCAGGCTGCGGTTGTAGCCCACGGGGCTGAGGTACTCGAAGATGAAAACAGTGACAGCAACCACGGTGAGGCACATAACGAACATCATCACCCAAACGGCAGGGCTGTAGGGCTCTGGGGGAGAAGGGGGCATGCATGTGGTCCCGGCTCAGCCAAGCCAAGGGTTGGGGGTGCGGGGCACAGACAGAGCAAGGAGGCATGGCCCAGATCTGGCGCAGGGCTACTCTGCCCCTTTCACAGGACAGCCCATGGGAGACGGCCACCCAAATATGCCTCTCCTCTAGATGCATGGCGCCCCACACGCGGCCTGACAACAAGCGCCAGGCTCCCGTAGGAGTCGCCAGGTCAGCCCCACTCCCATCCTCTGCCCAGTCTCTGTTCCCTCACCTCCTTTCTCCCTATCCAGCTCAGGCCTTGCCCTCTCCCCGGGGCCGGCTCCCTCCCAAACTGCCCATCATAGCTCCTAGCAGTCTCGAGGACAGGGCTTCTCCCGCTCAGCCGGGCTCCTGTCCTCCTCCTCAGCTTGATCCCTCTCAGCAGAGACCAAAGAGGTAGCATAGGGGTTAAGGCACTTGCCTTGCACCCCAGTTCAATCCCTGGCACCACAAATGGTCCCCAGACCACTGTTGGGAGTGACCTTCAGCACAAAGCCAGGAGCATCCCTGGGGACCACTAGGTGTAGCCCAATCCCACTCTCCTAAAGGGTGGGGGGGGGGTTATACCTGGCTGTGTACAGGGCTTACTGTTCACTCTTTGCTCAGGGATTACTCTTAGTAGTGCACTACTACTCCTGGTAGTGCAATACTCTCTACCATATGGGGCACCAGGGATCAAACCTGGGTCAGCTATATGCAAGGCAAATGTCCTGCTCATGTACTATCTCTCTGCCCCCCAAAACCCAGCTTTTCTACTGAGATATGCCCCCCAACTCTGACCCTCCCAGTCTTCACCTGCACCCATCTCTAACCCACCCCCTCCTCCAGTCTTACAGACCCGGTATGTTTCTTTGGTTTGGGGGCCACACCTGGCTGTGTTTAGGGATCACTCCTGGGTGGTGCTCAGGAGAACATCTGAGGTGCCAGGGACTGGACCAGGTTTGTCACATGCCAGGTAAGCACCTCACCATCTGTACTTTCTCTCTGGCCCTAGACCGCATCTATTCCACAAACACCCCAGACATCTCTCACGTTAAGGCTGCTGTCTTTGCTGTTCCAAGTTCACACAGAGCTGGGGTATATCAGCAGAGGCCCCACCCACCAACCTCGCCTCCTCACCACTACTTCTCTATTAATTTCCTTTAAAAAAATTGTGGGGCCACACTGAGCAGTGCTCAGGGGTTACTCCTGGATCTACACTCAGGAATCACTCCTGGCAGTGCTTGAGTGCTTGGGGGGACCCTATGTGTTGCTGGGGATCGAACCTAGGTTTGATCCAAATGCCCTCCCCACTGTGCTATTGCGCCGGCCCTCCGCCTTTACTTCTGAGTCCTGATGAGGCCCACTTGATTTCTGTCCCCACAGAACAGGGAGGTCTGGGAGCTGCATTGTGGGTGGATGAGCCAGTTCCTGTTACTATCCATCCCCAATCTCATCCTAATGGAATCTAAGTTTGTGTTTGGTGGTGTAGGGGATGGAGCGCGGGGCTGCAGCTCCCATCCCAGCCCTTGCATCCATAATTATTTATGGCTAGGGAAAGGCGGGATGTTGTAGGGCCCACTCTGGGGGATCCTTCTGTGAAGACCAAACCTGTTAGCATGCTGAGCACCAGAAGTTTTCTACGATTCAGACTTGCTTAGCTACACAGTAAAATCGCGTTTGGTGGGGGAAACGAAGTCTCCCGTTTTGCAGACTGGGAAACAGACCGGGAAGGGATGTCCCCTCACCAAGACCAGCCCACAGGTCCAGGCCATGCTAGGGAAGGAGCTCCGGTTTTCTGACCCCAGGGCCCTGGAGGTCTGCCTGAGGACAGCGGTTCCCTGCCTTGGCAACCCAGGCTCAGCTCACCGAGGAAGGCCGAGGGTGACACGGTGCCGTTGCTGCGTGCCACCATCACACTGATGCCGGTCTCCACGAAGGGTACGGAGAAGTCTACGATCTCCGACCGTTCCTCATTGATGGTGAGGGAGCCGATGGCCATGTCGGCGCGCTGGTAGAACACCTGTGTGAGGGCGAGGGACAGGTAAGGGCACCGCGCGGAGCCCGGGCACACACAGGAGGAGGGGGACAGGACCGCAGGACACAAGTGGGAGAGCCGAGCAAGGCCCGTGCAGATGAGAACTGGGGAACAGGAATAGGAAGAGTTGGGGGGGGGTCTCAACCCTGAATCCAGCTACCCTAACTCCAATCCTCAGAAGCTTTGCGCCCCGGGGGGCCCGCCCCTCCTAGTCCCACCTCCTCTGTCCCCGCCCCTCCAGACCCAGGCCTTCTTCCAGCACTTTCCAAGAGCCCCACCCGCTAGGACCTGGGGGAAGGGGGGGTCCAACACCCTGCCACACCCTCTGCCCCTCCCCTAACGCGCCAGGCCTTGGCATAATCCTGCCCCTAGGCCCCGCCCTTCCACATAAGACCCGCCTTGCAACTAGAGGCTCCGCTCCTCCCATCAGGGCACACCCCGCTCCAGGGCCCCGCCCGGCCCCGCCCCTCCCCAGGGCCGGCTCCCGCCCCTCCCCCGAACTCGTCCCCAGGCCCCTGCCCCAGCCTGTGCGGCTCCTGGTCTGGCCTGGCCTAACCTCCCCGATCATGCCGTTCCAGACACCGTCGATCTTCTTCCCGTGCTTCCCGTTGGTGACCAGGTAGAGGTCATAGCTGAAGCCGATGGTGTGCGCCAGCCGTTTCAGAATGTCGATGCAGAAGCCCTTGCAGCACCGCTTCTCTGGGCGGGGGGCATCTGGCGGGGGGCTGCGGGGAGTAGGGCAGTTTGGAGACACTGGGGGTGCCCCCGCCTTGGGCTCTCCCCAAAAATGACTGTGTGGTTGCTACTGAAATTTTGGTGAGCACTTTCTGGGGAAACTGAGGCTCGGAGGCTGGTTCTGGACACCAAGCGAGACAGCTCTCCGGGCTCCCAAGGAAGCAGCAGCCGGGACTACCGGCCTGCAGGGAGAGGGGGTTTGAAGCTGAAACTCCTGGGTCCCTGGCTGTCACCTGTGGGTGCGGTTGAGCTGGCTGCGGCAGGGAACAGAGTCCCGGATGCAAGTGCCACTGATGGGATCGGCGGGCTCCACGATGACAAAGGGCCGCTCCTCTAGTGTGGCCACCATGAGGTGCTGCGTGTCGTCCACCGGCTGCAAGAAGCGGCCGTAGCGGGACCACAGCGGGTACTTGAGGCGGAGGGTCTGCTGCTCCCAGCTGCCCACCTTGTCCAAGAGAAGGGAATTCCGGCTCTCTGGGGGCACCTTCCAGCGAGCCCTTCAGGCCCCACCTTTCTCAGAGCTGGTGCTGCAAGCTTCTCCCTCAGACCCAGGAGTCAAGGTATCTCCACCACCCCAAAGGGCCCAGATGCCCCTTCGGATCCAGGGGCCTAGGTCTTCTTCCCCCAGCACTTAAGTAAGGGTCTGGGCTCCTCAGTTCCCCTGCAGAGCCGTCGAGGGGCGCTGAGGATGTGGGCCTGGGGGGGGGGGTGGCTTGCTCAGGGCTGGGGCGGGGGCGGGGATGGGGAGGTAGGAGGTAGGTCCTCCCAAGGGCAAGGTAAGTGGGTGTGGCCAGAGGTGGGCCCTCTCCCACGGGTCAGAAGGTGGAGCTAGGAGGTGGGCCTTCTCAGGGTCCTGGCCAGTGGTCAGCATCTTCTTGGAGGTGGGCCGTGAGGTGGGCCCTCCCCTGGGAGCAGGGCTGGGACTCACCACCTCCCATGTCCTGTCTCTGGTTAAGGAGATGACCACTAGCGAGGGGTTCACCAGAAAGCCGTCCTCGTTAAAGGAGTAATCCCGGTTATCCCAAGTGATGTTCATGAAGTACCTGTTCAGGAGGAGGGAGGGGATGTGTGGGACAAAGTGGAGACATTCTCGTCAGTACTGACCACCTCCCCCACCCCTTTCTCAGCTGGAACCCCTCTGCCATGACCAGAAAGCCCAAATATAATTTTTTTTAACTTTTTGGGTCACACCCGGCAATGCTCAGGGGTTACTCCTGGCTCATGCACTCAGGAATCACTCCTGGCAGTGCTCGGGGACCATATGGGATGCTGGGAATCAAACCTGGGTAGGCCGCATGCAAGGCGAACACCCTACCTACTGTGCTATCACTCCAGCCCCCCAAATATAATTCTTTCCTTCCCTTTCCTCCTCCTCCATTCCATCTTCTTGGCTCCCCTAAGCCAAGAACCCAACACCCCCTACCACTGTGGTTGGAGACTCTATGTTCTGGCCTGCCAGATTCTGCACCCATCTCTTATCACTTCCCACTCACCAATGCTGTGCCCTCCCCAAGTCCCTTTCCTGCCCCACCAACACTGAAAGTAGTTGGTTTGATCTATCTTGAGGCCTTTGCAGATTTTCTTCTTTCTGCCTGGAAAAATGTTTTCTGGTCCCTCAGCTAGATCACTTGGTACATCTCCATGTCTCATCTGGAGGGGGGTTGCCTGGGGAGAAGCCCCAGGGAGTCTCAGGACTCTGGGCTTTCTTGGGGATAGGGCGCTAGATGCAGTGTGGGCCTCCTATTTCCTGGCCCTGGGTCAGGTTCTTTTGTTTTTGTTGTTTTCTTTTTCTTTTTGGGTCACACCTGCAGATGCACAGGGGTCACTCCTGGCTCTACATTCAGGAATTACCCCTGGCGGTGCTCAGAGGACCTTATGGGATGCTGGGAATCGAACCTGGGTTGGCCACGTGCAAGGCAAACGCCCTACGTACTGTGCTATCACTCCAGCCCCCATGGGTCAGGTTCTTAGCTGTGCCCTCACTCTCCTCCTCCTGTGGGCATTTAGCCCCCAAGCTCTATCCTTCCTGGCCCTGGGATCTCTGTCCACTCCCTCCCCACAGTGCTCCCAAACCTCCACATTCTAGCCTCCACCTTGCCTCCTGCACCCTAGTCCCTAACTCTCCTATGTTCATTAGCCTGGAGGCACTGCAACCCCACCCAACTGTTCACCTTTCCTCCCCACCAGGCCTCTGTGGTGCTACTCCCCTAGTCTGGAGTAGTCTCTGTTTCTTGGCAATTCTAGGCTGCTCTTAAAGTCAAGTCTAACCCCTGAATCTGGCCCAAGTAGCCTACAGGAGCAACACTCTATGTGAGTACCTCCCACCCCACTACTCCAGTCACACTAGCTTTGTTTGGGCCCAAGTCCTTGCTTTCCTCTCCCTTCTCTTCATGCAGATCTTTCAATAGTTGGCTCGGTCTTTTTCCATTTTTTTTTCTTCTTGGGTCACACCCAGCGATGCTCAGAGGTTTCTCCTAGCTCTGACCTCAGGAATTACTCCTGGCGGTGCTTGGGGGACCATATGGGATGCTGGGAACCAAACCCCAGTTGGCTGCGTGCAAGGCAAACGCTCTACCCACTGTGCTATCTCTCCAGCCCCTTCATCCGTGTATTTTATTTTTATTTTTTAAATTTTATTTATTTATTTTTTAACTCCCCGCCCCTGTCCATGATTTTTAATTTGGTTAGAGCTTAGGCCACACTCAGTGGTACCTGGGAACCATATTGTGCTAGGGATCTAACTTGGAGTTCCTGTAAGCAAAACCTGCACATCAGCCCTTTGAAGCAACTCCCAGACCTCTCTTTGTCCATTTTAGGGTTCCCAAGTTTCACATGCCTTTCCTGTGACTCCCATATACACCTAATCTAACACCCCAGGCATTTCTGATCACATCCCACTGTTTCATTTTTCCCCCAGAAATCTGCTGGTGTTTACTTTATGGGGGGGAGCACACTTGACTATTGCTCAGGGGTTACTCCTGGCTCTGCACTCAGGAATTAATCCTAGCAGTGCTCAGAGGACCACATGGGATGCCAGGGATAGAACCTGGATTGGCCATGTGCAAGGCTAGTGTCCTACCCACTGTTGCATCACTCCATCTCCTGGTGTTCACTTCTTTCTTGTCTGTTCACTAATTGCTTCTCTTATCAGGCTTTGTGAGAGAAGGGCTGTGTGCCCAACCCTCTGCAGCACTGCTCATCATAAAGCAGGCCCACAGTAAAGGGCTTTTCTGTAGATGGATGAATGGATGGATGGATGGTAGATGGATGAATGGTGGTGGAAGGATGGATGGTGAGTGTATGGTGTTTGGATGGATGGTGAATGGATGGGTGGGTGCATGGATGGTGGGTAGATGGATGGATGAAGAATGGATGGAGAGATGGATGGTGGATAGGTAAATAAACAAGTAGATGGATAGAGGAACGAACAGCCAAATGGCCAGGTGGATGGATGAATGTGTGGATAGAATAGTTGTTCGGTAGATAGATGTGTGGATAGGAGGGTGGTTGGGTAGACGGATGTTGGATAGATGGGTGATTGGGTGACTGGATGGGTGGGTAGATGGATGGATGGATGGAAGTATGGATGGATATGTAGGCAGATAATCCTTCCAGACTCAGCTTATTTTTTTTCTCCTCCTGGAAACCTCTGTACGCTGACTCATGACTTGCATAGCCTACTTTGAAAAACAGTTTGGGACCAAAGAAATTTCTCTCTTGGGAGGACTTGGCTATGAGATTTGGAGGGATGAGTGGTGGACAGGAAGAGCTGAAACTGTGAGCATCAGGAGACAGAAATACTAGGCTAGTGAAGGTAAGGCACAGAACTGAAGGTTGGCACAATAATACAGTAGGTAGAGTGTCTGCCTTGCACACAGCCAATCTGGTTCAATCTCTGACATCCCCTATGGTTCCCTGAGAACTGCCAGGAGTAATTGCTGAGAGAAGAGCCAAGAGTACACCTGAGCAACACTGGATGTGGCCCAACACCCCCCCACACCCCCCACACACCAAGTAAAAAGACAAGAACTGAATGGCTTCTGGGAGTAGCATGCGAGAGGATTGGGGAGAGAGAGCTCCCCACCACCACTCCCATTTGGCCTCAATTCATGGGATTTCTTTGGCTTTGGGGGGGTCACACCTGGTGATGCTCAGCGGTTACTCCTGGTTCTGCATTCAGGAATTACTCCTGGCGGTGCTTGGGGGACCATATGGAATGCTGGGGATCAAACCTGGGTCAGCCGTTTGCAAGGCAAACACCCTCCCCACTGTACTATTGCTCCAGCCCCTGGCCTCAATTCTTTTTTACGGGGGGGAGTCACACCCGGCAGATGCACAGGGGTTACTCCTGCCTCTGTACTCAGGAATTACTCCTGGCGATTCTCAGGGGACCATATGGAATGTTGGGAGTCGAACCCTGGACCCCAGCCGCATGCAAGGCAAATGCCCTACCCTCTGTGCTATCACTCCAGCCCCTGGCCTCAATTCTTGATGTCTGTTTCTAGGTGTGTTTACCTTTCTAACAACCCCCCCCCCCCCCTTTTCCTTGAGGAAGTCTAACTGAGACTGTGCTTCTTGCAAACCAAATATCCTGTCCTCCTGTTGTAGACAGAGCCCTCCTGGGGTGCCCTCGTGCCAGCTGCCTCCATTCTTGCAAGGAGCACGCTGTGCTGGCCTTATCTTCATCCCTGTTGCCACCCCTATGGGACCCCGCATTCTCTGAAAGGAACTCTGTGGTCTTATTCATCTCCGTATGCCCAGGGCCCAGCAGGACCCCTTGCTCCTAGCAGGCGCTCACGAAGTATTTATGAACCAGGCTGCTTTCATATCCTTGCATGCCCAGATACTGATTTCCTACCCACACCTATTTCTCATTTCTCCTCCCTGGGTCTGCTTGCCCACTCAATACCTCTTCTACAGCTCAATTCATCTTTTTAGGACTCAAGACCCTTCCTTCCTCCCTTCTGTCCCCAAAGTCATCCATGTCTCTGTCTCCAGTGAAGTGGAGAGGGGGCTTTGCATCAAACCCCGTACTTCCTTCTCCCTTCCTTCTCTTCCTTCCTTCCTTCCTTCCTTCCTTCCTTCCTTCCTTCCTCCCTCCCTCCCTCCCTCCCTCCCTTCCTTCCTTCTTTCCTTCCTTCATTCCTCCCTTCTTTCTTCTCTCTCTCTCTCTCTCTCTCTCGCTCTCTCTCTCTCTCTCTGCTGTTTGGGTCCCAACCGGTGATGCTCAGAGATTACTTCTGGTTCTGCACTCAGGAATTACTCCTGGCAGTGCTCAGGGACTATATGGGATGCTAGGATTGAACCTGGGTCGGTCACATGCAAGGCCACCCTATCCACTATACTATTGCTCCAACATCTCTCTTTTTTTTGTTTTTCTTTTTGTTTGTTTGTTTGTTTTTTTGGGGGGGTCACTTTTTCCCTTTGTGGTACATAAACATTAGGGACACATCCATTTTTATGCTGTTACAGTTTGTAGTGCTAGGGGTTGAACCCAGGGACTTACACATTAAATGGGAAAGAAAAACATTAAATGGGGGGGGGGGCGGGGAATCTGCATCTTAAAATCACAAATGACAGGAAAACTCACTCTATCTTTAAGTGTTGCTACCAACTTTCCAGATAGAAGACCCAGTTAGGTCCATTTTGTATTATTTGGGAGAGGAGGGATTGGACCATACCCAGCAGTGCACAGGGATCACTCCTGGCAGTGCTTGGGGGACACTAGGTGATGGCAGGAATTGAATCCGTCTGAGAAGCATGCGAGGCAAGCGCCTTGCTAGCTATACTATTGCTTTAGCCTTATGGGCCCATTTTACAGAAAGGGAAGTTGACAGGAGGTTGGAAAGATCCCTTTGGGTCCGTGGCTATTCGGTCCCACTCACCTATGGAGGCTTTCCCCTCGGTGCGTGCGGTTCTGGGCGCGACAGTCGTGGCCGAGCTCGGGCAGGAAGCCATAATCACGCAGCAGAGCCTGGGCCCCTCTGGCCACCACGGCCACACCAGCGGCCACACGTCGGGCCAGATCATCGCGCCATCCTGCTGAGCGCACGGCGAAGAGGCCAGCGGGGAGCGGGGCACCTCCAGGCAGCAGAAGGGGCTCCCCGGGGGCGCCTGAGCCCCCGCCTCCAGCCAGCTGGGGGCCCACCATGAACCAGACGTAGCCGGGCCCGGTGAGGCCGGCCTCCTCTGCTGCCCGGAACACCGGCTCGGCCTCCTCCCGGGCGCAGAAGAGCAGGCGGATCTGAGCGCTGACGCTGCGCAGCTGGGCACCCAGCACGGCCTCGCCAGCTCCCGGGTCCAGCGTCAGCGCCCCGCGATGCTCCCAGCCCACCAGGCTGCCGTCCGTCAGCACCTCGATGTAAGACAGAAAGGCCCGGTGGCCGGGGGCACGGGTGGTCACTGCGACGAATGACGTCCAGTCGTACTCCTCCAGCACCTCGAAGATCACCTGAAGCTGTTGCTCGGTAGAGGAGCCCAACTGCAGGAAGGTGGAGCCCTTCTCCTGTGGGGGGCGGGGGGCGTCAGGCTCTCCGCACCACCCAATTCCGGACCTGAAGCCCTGGCGCCAGCGGTCGAAGGGTCCCCATCTCCCGGCCCCAAGCACCTCCAAACACAGGTCACAGCCCTCATATGGTGGAGCAAGGAGCTATTGCACCCCCTCCCCGAACCTTTTGGAGCTGGAGGTACAGGACCAGCTTGGAGGTCGATTCGGCCACATGACAGAGCTCCAGGCTCCCTGTGACAACACCCCCATCCCTGCCATTGCCCGGTCCTCTCTTCCCTCCCTGAGAGTAGAGCAGAGTCCCCCCCACCAAAGACAACGCTACCATTCTCGGGGACAACGGGAATCTCGAGCCCCGACTAGCTGATCGGACAGTCACCTCCCATCCGGGACACCGATTTGGAATTTTTATGAGCAAGAGACTACTTTCTCTGGGATCACGGAGACATGGAGAAGGTTTGGCTGTCACTTCCGCTAGGTCGCTTTCATCAGTAAGCGCCCCACCCCCATCCCCGGTTTCCGGAGAGGGAACTACGATTCCCAGCACCCACCGGGATGGACCATGTCTCCCAGTATGCAACGCGGCTGCAGCTGGCCCTGCACCTCCCAGCTGGGAGGATCTTTGTTGAAGTGAACTTTCCTGCTCTGGTTTCCCTCCTGCTTTCCTGTCCCCTGGCATCTCTTTCTTCTTTCCTGGACCACCTCTGCCTACAACAGAGTTCAAAATGGAGCAGTGCCCTAATTTGACTTCTTCGTCCTCTCTCGCTGGGGATCTCATCCAGATCCATGGCTGTGAATATTAACCTCGTTCTATCCAATATGGTAGCCACTAGTCACCCAGAACTATTCACATTTAAGTTCGTTGACTTAAAATGAACTCAAGTTCACCAACTGCCCTAACTCCATACATGTCAAGCACCCAGCAGACACTGAGGACTAGGAACTAGCATGTGGGACAGAGCAAATTTTTGGGCTATCTTCAGGGGAGAAGGCTCCATCATATCGTACTAGATATTTTCCTATCCTCGTGAATTCAGGCCAGACATCAGTGTCTCCTCTTCCCAGAGTCATATCGAAGTCAGCATAGCAAGATAGAATTTTCTTTATCTCCCTTCTCTCGAATGGGCTCCTTCAGGCCCCAATGCCTTTCTTTCCTATCAACATCATCCTTTCCACCTCTAGGCCCCCTCCAAGTCTTTTCGGTTTTGTCTTTAAGAGCCTCCACTCCTCACACCTCTCTATCACCTCTTCCTTGCCAAGAAAATGCACCAGCTTCCTAACTCCTCTTTGCTGATTCTTTTTGCATCTTTGAGTCCATTCTCTATTCAAGCAGCTGGAATGATCTTTACAAAATGCTAATTGACTGGTATTCCTTTTTTGGGGGAGGGCACACCAGCCAATTAGGAGTTACTCCTGACTCTGCACTCAGGAATCACTCTTGGTGGTGCTTGGGGGACCCTATGGGATGCTGGGAATCAAACCCAGGTTGAGTGCATGCAAGGCCAACACCCTCCCTGCTGTACTCATTTTGGCCCTAGTATTCCTCTTTGTTTGTAAAACACCACTTGATTCTACCTCAGATGAATCAAAGCCACCCACACTTGCAGGACCTGGTGCTCACTGCCTCTCTGACCTCATCTGCTTCCACCTCAGCCTCTGCACTTCCTCAAATATATCAAACTCCTTCTGACTTCAGAGACTTTACCCTTAGCCATGACTTCTTCCTGAGATTATAGTTCCTAAGTCCACCCCCATTCCTGAGGTCCACCTGGAGTTTTCCTTCCTCAGGGAATCTCACCTGACTGCCATTTAGAAGTTTCCTCCTCACCCCTCTGCTCCGTGCTTCCTGCCCAGACATTTCTCACACTGTTCCTCCTTTCATGTTTCTGCACCAGACTGCAAGGTCCATAAGAACAGGTGCCTTATCATTTCCCACATCTTAACCCCTCGGCTTTTATAATTCCATCCCCCAGAACCTAAAACAGCTGTAGCATGAACCACAAGCCTCACTGTTTTTCTTTCTTTTTGGGTCACACCTGGTGATGCTCAGGGGGTTACTCCTGGCTCTGTACTCAGGAATTACCCCATGAGGTGCTCGGGGACCATATGGGATGCTGGGAATCAAACCCGGGTCGGTCGCATGCAAGGCAAACGCCCTACCCGCTGTGTTATCGTTCCAGCCCCAGTTTTTAAAGAATAAGTGGCCTTTCTCCCTAGGTGTGGTCCTGGGAGGATGGGGTCCTCCAGTAAGCAGTGAGAACCTCCAAGATACTCTCCCGAGCTTCAGCAGGTGGAAGTGCACTGAGGGAACTGCCTTCCCAGTACTCAGTATGGGGCACAGATAGACCTGAGAGGACCATGCTTTCTCCCATCCAGAGACAATGAAGGGACATTTCTCTGTCGTGCTGGAGTGTGGGCCACAGGCCACGGAAAGTGGCCCACACTCCAGCGGCAATTAGAGGCAGAAGGAATTACAGGTCATGGAGATGGCAGCCAGGAAAAAGTTCAAAGGTTCTTGGTGCAGAATGCTGCCTACAGATCTCCAGACAGCACCAAGGGGAGAAAGTTGAACAGAGGGCATTCCCAGAATGCTCTGGAGAGAACTACGAGTCCCAGCATGCAACAGCGATCCAAGTACTAAAGCCCTCGGTCCCTCCCGGTTTAGGCTCCACCCACTCAGGTGGGCCCTTTCACTAGTCTCTTTGGCCTGGCTCCTGAATGGGTCCGCCCCTTCTTCGACCTCAAGTCTTAGATAACCCCTTTCCCCTCCTTCTCTGTCCGCGCCCCTGCTCAGTTTTTTCTAGAGGAGAAGCAGAGCTCAGTCCAGCTACGGCCTGCCCAGCCTCAGCATCCTCAACAACCTCTGGATTCTCTCTTTCACTCCGGGTATGCCCCTGGGCAAACCCCACTCCATGATCATCTTGTTCTCTCTAGACCTGACTCCTGTAACACAGAGCCCCCTCCTGGCCTCGTCCTTCACTGGCTAGCCCCGCTTGCCCCTTCCCTGCTCCTGCTCCGCGTCCAGCCCCCACAGGTCACTGATAACTCCTTGACTCCTCTCTCTCCCTCTCTCAGACCCTCAAAAGTCACAGCACCAGGATCATCCATCACTGGCCTGACTCAGTCTCTGCTCCCCGGAAATCGCCACCAAACCCCCTACAAGCCACGCCTCCTTCACCCCAAATCTGAACCTCTGCTCCAAGGGAGTCGGGATCCTCCCCTCTGGCCCGATCACGGCCCCGCCCCCAAGGTGGCCATGGGCCCGCCCAAGCCCCGCCCCAAGGAGACCCTGGCCTCGCCCCTCCCGCCCCGCGGTGGCCCTCGCCCCGGGCCCAAGGTGGCCCTGGCCCCGCCCCCGAGGCAGGCCCCACCCACCCGCAGGTCGCGCGCACCTTGGGCGTGAGCACGAGCGCGGCGCCGCCGTGCACGGCCACGATGGGCAGCGAGGTCTGCGCCGACAGGAAGTCGAGGATGGGCGCCACGGCGGGCGCGCGCGAGTCGTCCTCGAAGACCACGCCGTGCACGCGCAGCCCCGACAGCAGGTCGCAGAGCTGCAGCACGAGGCTGCGCGGGTCCGAGCCGTTGAGCACCAGCGCCACGGGCCGGACGTCCAGGCCCGGGCTGCGCACGGCCGCCGCCACGGCAGGACCCAGGCGCGCCGCCTCGGTGGCATACGCGGGTCCCGAGAACACGAGCGCCACGTTGAGCGGCCGCGCCCCGCCGGGGCCCCCGCCCGGTCCGCCGGCCCCGCCCGGCCCCGGAGCCTCGTCCGGGAACGGGCTGGCGCAGGCGAGCGCCAGCAGCAGCAGCATCTTAGCGGGGCCCCGAGGGCCGCGGGGGCCACCGGCGCCGCGCATCGCCTGCGGACCCCGCCGGGCGGCCTCTGAGCGCGGGAGGGACCGGTGATAGCGGAGCACAGAGATGGGGAAGGCAGGGACGGGGCGGGGGGACGCAGACGGGGAAGAGGAGAGGCGTCGAGGTGAGGACAAGAGGGAAAGTTTGGGGCGACAGGGATAGAGAAAACAGTGGACAGAAATACAAAGGCGGGCAGAGACAGTGGGAGGTGGGGGCAGAAAGGTTCCCAAGGTGGCCAAAGGAGATGGGGGAGGTGGAGATGGGGAAGCCAGATAGGAAACAACCCCCCAGGAGATGACAGAGTGGGTGAGCAGGGGGAAAGGTCGAGGGAGTGGACCAGACAGACAGACGGACAGACAGAGAAGGCGTCCGGACAGCAAGCAGTGGGGAGGGAAGGAGAGTGAGGCGGGGCGGAAGGGCCCGATGAGAGGGTCGGGGAGAGGAGAGCAGAAAGTAAGTTGGACAGAGGGATGGAGGCCCGCAGCCGATCCCCGGACCCCAGGCCGCCGAGAGAGGCACAGACACGCGGCGGCAGCGGCGGCGAAGCCAGGCCGGGGTGGGGATGGTGGGGGACCCACAGCGCCACCGGAAACGGGGAGACAGAAATAGCCGGAGAGGAGCAGAGATGGAGACCCCCCACCCGCGAGGTGCCAGCACAGACATGAAAGGGCCCGGGAAGGCGAGTGGTGGGAGGGAGCGGGAATAAAAGGAAGAAAAAGTGAAGGGGACAAAAAAAAGAGAGAGAAAGGGAAAAGGGGTCAGGTGCAGGGGGGAGAGAAAGAGAAAGAGAAATTAGTGGGGCGTCCCAAGGAGAGAAGGTGGCCCCCAGGACCTTACTCCTCACCTCTGCCCCAACCCCCCAGCCCTTTTTATTTGGTGTCCCCTTTATGCTGTCCCTGTTTCCCCCGCCACACCTCCCATTTCAATGAGGATGAGAAAGTCTGGGTCCAGACTGGGCTGTGGGGTTGGGGGGGTCACAGCTGTGGCGAGCTGGTGGGGGGCGGGGGTCCTTGGCTGCCAGCCCAGAACAATTTGGGAAATGAGAGGAAATGCAGCGAGTCGGCCTGGTCCCCTGTTGCACGCGGGCCGCCTGGGGTGGCCGGGCTGGGAGCCCAGACGCCCCGGGTTTGGGGTGAAGAAGGAGGGCGCTGGGAGGGGCCTCCAGCCCTGGCTTCCCTAGAGGGGCCAGGAGCCCGCCTAGGGGCGGGGGGGGGTCTTCCCGCGGGGGGCGGGGTCAGGCTGAGAAGCCGCCTCTCAGGGCTGTCAATCAAGCCTGTCCGGTTGCCATGGCAGCGCGGGTCCCAGCGCCCTGCGGGCCGGAGGGCGGGGACGGCCCCACCCCCGCGGCTGGCCTCGCCCCCCCACCCGGCCCGCCCTCCTGGGCCTCCGGGGTGGGAGTGGGGGCTTCTCTCGCTCAGCCACCCCAAGTCTGCTCTCCCCACCTCTCCTCTCCGCTGCCCTTCCCCAAGCAGCTGCTCAATCAGCGCTCAGAATAGCCCCCCCCTCCGCCCCAAAATAACCCACAGCTGTGGCCTGGCCCCCGCGGGGTTAATACGTCCGCTCGCCCCCACTCCCGCCCCCCTCTGCCTCTCCAGTGAGGGTTCAGGTGGGGAGCCCCCAGTCCCAGCTTTCTTGGGACAGACTCCTGCCCCTCCAGCCAGGCCACTGGGGACAAGGAAGGCCCCAAATGCAGAGCCTACAGGAGCCAGCCCCCCAGTGTCCACCTTCTTCTGAGTCTTAGTCCCCACTTGCATGCATTGGGGTGGGAGGTGGCTAAAGTATCCAGCACCCAGCCCCTGGCAGAGGGCCCTGTCCCTTCAGGGACTCAGGAGATAGCACCTGCACCTCTTCATCCCTCAGACCCCCAGGATCTCCCCCCAACTTTGCCCAGCCCCTCTCAGGCCTCTTCTCTGCACCTGGGTGTCCAGCCTCCTGTGTCCCCACAAACCACAAGTTCAGCTCTGGGGCCCAGTCCCAGCCCTCTTGCTGAGAACCCTCATTTCTGTTTCCTACCCCATCAGTGCCAGCATCTTGGACACCCCCCAGTCCAGTCCACAGCACGGCCTGTCTGCAGACTGAGGACATGAATGCCAGAGATTCCTGGGGTGTCCCTGTCTCCCTCGCCCCCATCACAGAGGAAAGGGGAAGCCACTTTGATCAACAGTCCATTGGGGGGGCCTCCCTCCCCCTCCCCATCTTGCTGCAGCCCTGAACACTGTCCCCCACCTCCCACCCTGTGCAGGAACCACAGGTTTGGGTGGGGGGGTGCCCAGAGCCTTGAGTGGGGGGAGCTGGGGGTGGCAGGCCTGGACGCCCGCAAGGTCCTTGGCCATGTTAATAGCCGACTCATAGCGCGGGGCGGGAGGGAGAGGGAAGCGCGGGCCGCTGCAGGCAGGGGCTGCGGAGGGAAGGAGAGTGGAGAGATGGGGGGATGGATCGGGAGAGGTGTGGGGTGTCAGGTATGTGAGGCTGGGGAGAGAGAGCGGGCACGGTAGGGCGGGAGAGGGGGGCCAGTAAGACTGAGGTGTAGAGGCTGGGAATAAAGGGATGTGGGGAGCCAAAGAGGGGGTGGAAGAGAACCCCCAAGAAACAAGGAAGGGAGGGCAGAGGCCCCTCCTCACCCACCAGCCAGCACCCCTTTCCCTCTGCCCAGAGGCCCCTGGCCAACTTTCCCGGAGCTGGAGCTGGTGGTCCACCCGGCGCCCCCTCCCCAGGCCTTACCTTTTCATGACCCTGCTCTGTGGGGGGGATGGCAGGGGGACCAGGACCGGATCCAGAGTCGGTGACCCGAAGATTCTCGGTGGCGGTGCCGCTGGGGGGGCAGGCCCCAGGGCAGCGGCAGTGGCGGCAGCGATGGGGGGCTCTGTCGGCTCACCCTTCTCTTCTCGGGTCCCGTCCTGCCCTGTCTGTCCCCCAAGGTTGCGGTTCCCCCACTAGACGAGGACGCGGCTGCACATGTTGCACTGGAAGTTGGGCCCGGACATTGCGGAGGCTGGTGGGGTGTCCTCCTGCTGCCAGGACCCCGTGGGGATCCCCCCTCCGCCCACCCAGGGCCCCCCCCTCTGTTGCTCAGCCCCGGCTCCTCCCCCCTTCCATGTGTCCAGTCCCGCCTCTCCCCGGCCCATTCGCACCGCTTTGTGCCCTAGCCAGCGCCCCCCCCACCCCAGCTCTGTCTGTCTGTCTGTCTGTCTGGGTCACCTCTGAGGCCAGTCGCCGGGGTGTGTGTTGGGGGTGGGTGGGGTGGGCAGAGGCCGTCTGGGAGGGGATCTGCTTGCCCGGCCTCCTTTGGCTGTCTCGCGCCCCCCCTCTCCCGCCCCCCCCCCCCCCAGCACAGGCAGAAACACACAGACACACGCACAACCTGACTTCCCTGGGATTCCCCCTCGACACCCCCGGAGCCAGAGGACACACGCGCGCACACACACGCACGCACACGCACACACAGGGTCCGTCCGTCCGCCGCTGCGGGACAGACGGGAGGACAGGGCGGTCCGGGACCCAGACGCCCGCCGAACGCAGGCAGGACGCACAGAGCGCAGGTACGCACCAGCCGCCCGGGGCTGGGGGGCAGGAGGAAGGCGAATGGGGCCCCCCGGTGAGGCAGGCGGCTGCAGGGGGGGGCAGACAGACAGACCCCTCCCTCACCGGCCGCCGCAGCCTGCACAGACACACCCCCCCCTCTGCCCGCCCGGCCCCACACACCCGAGCCCCAGAGCCTCACCGGGCCGTGGGCAGATGCACGAGACTCGCGTGGGGGCCGGGGGACCCCCAGGCCGGCGACACTCCCGGCCGGGCACCGGTGGCCAAGGCGGGCGGCGGCGGCGGCGGCTGGAGGGCGGCGCGGCGGCCCCGGAGCGGGAGGGACTCGCTCGTCTGCTCGCAGCCTCTGGTCTCCGCACGCTCGCTGGGGATGCGATTAACATTCAGTCCCCGTCCGCCCTGCCGGGAGACCCACAGCCCCCTCCCTGGCCTCCCTGGGGACCCCTCCTCCTGCCACGGCCGGGGCGGGGCGCCCCCTCCCGCGGCGCAGCTGAGTGTAAGGGCGGGCGAGGGGCTGCGAGGCCAAGGGGGGCGGCCCCACTGAGAGCCCCGAACCCCCCCACCCCGAACTCGCCGCTCCTGGACTCAGGGCCCCTGGGGCTGCCGATCACAGCCCCCTAGCCCCGATTTGACTCTTGGGAACCAGAGGTCCTTCTTGGACCTCTGGTTCTCCTACGCCGGGACCCCTCTTTTGGCTTCTGACGCCCCAGAAGGGTGGACCTGCAAAATAGGTCTCCACTGTGAAGCCAGGGTTCCAGGTGTCCAGCCTCCTCCCCTCAGACCCAGGGCTCCAGGTTCCCGGACTCTTTCCTCAGACCGGCAGATCCACCTCAACCCCTCCTCCCTGTGACCCAGGGATCCAGGCACCTAGCCTATTCCCTCAGAAGTCCACCCTGAACCCCCTCCTTCAGACCCTGAGGTCTTCCGCAATCCCTCAGATTCAGTGGTCCAGGCTCCCAGCCTCTTCCCTCAAACTTGGAGGTCCATTCCCCCAACCCTCCTACCTCATACCCAGAAATTCAGTCCCATCCCCCTTGTCCCTCAGACCCAGAGACCCACCAACCCCTCCTCCTTTATTCACTCAGCCTCCCTCAGACCGAGGGTTCCAGCCCCCAGCTTCCTCCCTCACACCTGGAGATCCACCCAAACCCTCCTCTCTCAGACCCAGGGCTCCAGTACCCAGCCTCCTCCCTCAAACCCAGAGGTCCATTCCCCACCTTCTCTCCCTCAAACCCAGGGATCTAAGCCCTAGCCATCCCCCTCATATCCAGGAGTTGGTACCCACTTCCTTGGAACTTAGGGTCCCATTCAGCCCCTAGTCTGTGTCTTGCTTGGAGAGCAGATGCCCAATCCCCCTCTGACCCTGACTTTTCTCTCCCCTTTCAGGAATGTCACTCCCACTCCCCCCATTCTCCCAGACCCTGAGGACCCCAAGTCTGATCACAGGTCAGCCAGGAGACCCCACTCAGCAGTACTACCTTGTACCTGGCTCTGCTGGGGTGCCGGGACCCCCTCTTTAGCAGGAGAATGGGAATATGCTGTTGGTTTTGAGGACCCCTTAGGGCTGGTCCCTGAGAGGACTGCTGCAACTTTCCTCTGGGTGACACTCATGACAATGGAGGCCGGTCCTCCCAATAAAAGAGAGGGTACACGAGGTACCAGTTTCCTCTGAGACCTAGGTGCCTGATGGTGATGTGTGTGTCTTGAACTTGTAACCCCTGAGGCTGGTTTGTGTAGTGGGTCAAGTTGTGAATCCCCAAAAGGTCATCAGGCTTGGAGGGGATGGAACCAGGATTATTTGAGGACCAATAGTTACTTGGTGGTGATGGTCTGAGGGAGGAAAAACCGGAGGTCTGCACCCCTGGGTCTGAGGGAGGGAGGTTGGGGTGGCTGCACTCCTGGATCTGGGGGAGGAGATTGGGGTGTTTACACTCCTGGGTCTGAAGAAGGAAGCCAGGTGCCTGGGCTTCAGAGCCTGGGGGAAGAGGAAGTGAGGTTTGGACTCCTGATCTGAGGGAGGGGGCTTGGGGTCCCGAGCTGCACCTTAGTCTGAGGGAGGCGGGACTAGGGTGTCTGATTCCTGGGTCTGAGAGAGGAGGGGCTGGGGAGTCTGGATTCTGGGCTTGAAGGAAGGAGGCTGGGGATTCTGATATCTGGGACTTGAGGGAGGAGGGGCCGGCGTGGAGTGTGAGGGAGGAGATCCGTGGGTCCGAACGAGGCTGATGATCGCTTCTCTGACCTATGGGTGCGACGGAGCTGGACGCCCGGTTGCGAAGGGGTCAGCTGCCAGCCCAGCCTCTGAGTCCGGCCGAGATTCGTAGTGTAGAGACTGGGCTGCGACCCTTCCAGAGGCACAGACAGCGCGGGGGCAGAGGCTGGCAGGAGGGCCCCTGGCGATGGCTTTGGCAGAGGGACCGTCTGAGCCCCGCACTCCGCACCCCGCCCCTTACTCCGCAAGCTCCTAGGAGGCGGCCTGCGGAGCGCTTCGGAAGCGGGCTGCGCACACCCGCCGGTGCCGGGAGGGGGCGCCGGCGAGCAGGACTCCGCCCTCGGGGCGGGGCCTCAGGCGCGGCCCCGCCCCCTGCCGCCCGCCTCCCTCTTCCCGGCTCCCGCTCGGCCTCCAGCTCCCGCCTCGGCTCCCCCTCCCAGAGGCCCCTCCCCGGAGCCGAGCCCACCCAGGGCCCCCGCCGCCGCTCCCCTGCCCAGCCGCCGGGCCCGAACAGCCTCCCCGGGGGGCAGCCCCCCGTCCGCCTGCTTCCCTCCAGCCCAGCCCTGCCAGATCCCCCACCATGAATCTCTTCCGATTCCTGGGGGACCTCTCCCACCTCCTAGCCATCATTCTGCTGCTGCTCAAAATCTGGAAGTCCCGCTCGTGTGCCGGTGAGCGCCCCGCAGGGGAAAGGGGGGCTGGGGGCCGGGGGCCGGGGCGGCCCGGGTCGGGAGAGGGTTTGGAGGCAGCGGAGGGGACGGGTCCCTCCCCGCCCCCTCCGCCCCTGCGGGCCGGGAGCCCCCTTCCGGGGCCCCGGGGGTCGGCTTCACCCCCCGTGTGTGCTGGGGGTGCCAGTAGTTGGGCGTGGGGGTCCCCAGGCCCCCTTGCCCTCGCCGGGCGGCCCGGGTTCCGGGAGCGGGAGCCGTCGCAGCCCGGGGAGGCGGCCGGGAGTTGGTGACGTGGACCGCGGCGTCCAGGAAGGGGCTTGAGGGACGCGGCTGGCGTGGGGGGAGGGATGAGGTCAAACGGGGCCCGCCCGCGGCCCCACCTCGCTTCCGAGGGTGGGAGGACCCCGAGAGGAGTCGGGGCGGCCGTGAGGCCTAGCCCGGACCGAGCCTCGGGCTGGAGTAGCTGCCGGGCCGGGCTGCCCCCTGGCTGTGGGCCTGGGAACGGGGCCCAGTCCCTGCGGGTCGGGCCGGGCTGGGCCTGGGGGAACGGCGGCGCCCCCCAGCCCCCCGCAGCCCCGCGCATGCCTCGGATTGTTCTCCATGTGCCCCCCACCCATGCCGCTGCACCGCAGGGATTTCGGGCAAGAGCCAGGTCCTGTTCGCTGTGGTGTTCACTGCCCGCTACCTGGACCTCTTCACCAACTACATCTCACTGTACAACACCTGCATGAAGGTAACGGCCACTCCCCGCCTTTCTGCGCCTGCAGGGCAAGGGGACACGACCCGGTGCTCCCCAGCTGGCGGCCGGGGCAAGAACCCAGACTCCTGGATCCCGGGGAGGAGGCTGGAGGCCTGGACTCCTAGCTCTGAGGGAGGAGCCTGGGGATCTGGACCTTCAGTTCTGATGGAGGAGGCTGCGGGGGCCTGGACTCCTAGGCCTGAGGGAGGAGGTTGGGGTCTGGACTCGGGGTCTGATTCCTGGGTCTGAGGGAGGAACTTGGGGTTCGGGACCTTTGCGTCTGAGGGAGGAGACTGGGGGGCCTGGACTTTTGGGTCTGTGGGAGAAGGCTAGGGGTCTAGAATTCTGGGTCTGAGGGAGGAGGCTGGGATCTGGACCTTTGGGTCTAACTAAGGGAGGAGACTGGGGCATGGACTCCTAGGTCTGAGGGAGGGCATTGGGAGGCCTGGACTTGCGGGTCGGAGGGAGGAGGCTGGGATTTGGACCTTTGGGTCTGAGGGAGGAGAGGCTGGGGGTCTGGATCTCTGGATCTGAGGGAGAAGGGACTGGGGTCGACCTCTTAGAGCCCACTGAGGGCACAGGCTCCTCTGTGAGCCGCAGCACCCCCGCCCTCGCCGTCTCCACAGGTGGTCTACATTGCCTGCTCCTTCACCACGGTTTGGATGATTTACAGCAAGTTCAAAGCTACATATGATGGCAATCATGACACGTTCCGGGTGGAGTTCCTTGTTGTCCCTACAGCTGTCCTGGCCTTCCTGGTCAACCACGACTTCACCCCGCTGGAGGTAGGCAGGCTCCCTGCCCGGCCGGTCAGCTGCTTATCCGTGGCCTCTGCCTCTTCCAGCCAGTGTGTGTAGGGCATCACCCCGACGTGAAGACACTGCCAGCCTCCATACTCATTCCCTGCCTGTCCCACATATGCGCTCACCCCCCTCAGAGCAGCCCTCTCCCACTGGGAAATGGGGGCTCAGAAAATTGGATCTGGTTTTCAGCCCCTGCTGGTTTGCAGCGGTGAAAGATTGGAAAGTCTAAAGAGTGCACCATGCTTGTTGGTGCCTTGCTTGGGTCTGGGGAACCAGCTCTGAGGCCCACAACTGCTCTGTTTTTGAATCTTCGAGTGTGACCTTTGCTCCTCTGTGCCTTCGAGTTCCCTGGCCTTGGTGACTGTGCATGGGCCCCTAAGCACCAAACCAGCAGTAGCCCCTGGATTCCTCCAAGGGTGACCCTCAAATACAAGCAAAACCGGGTGGCAGAAGAGACAGCTCAGTGGACTGGAGCCTGACCTTGGCATGCAGGACTCCCAGTCTCTGGCAACCTTTTTTTCTTTGTTTTTTTTTTCTTTTTAGTGAAATAAATAGATTTTATTTGGAGGGTTTTAAGGTGTGGAGGGAGAGAGTGAGAGAGTAACGTGCTCAAGAGAGAACCCATGGGGCTGGAGCATTAGCACAGCGGGTAGGGCATTTGCCTTGCACACGGCCGACCTGAGTTCTATTCCCAGCATCCCATATGGTCCCCTGAGTGCTGCCAGGAGTAATTCCTGAGTGCAGAGCCAGGAATAACCCCTGTGCATTGCCGGGTGTGACCCAAAAAGCAAAAAAAAATAAAAGAGAGAGAGAGAACCCAGGCTTCTCCAAGGGCGGAGAGAGAGCCCCTACACACATTCTGGCATTAGACACGAAAGCATGAAAGTACACATCTCAAGAGGGGACCCGTGCGGGCGACACATGTGCTCAGGCGCCACCTGTGCTCGGCCACATGGGGGCAAGAAGCACATGGGCTTGGGCAGCATATGCGCCTCCAGCAACCTTTGATCCCCTGAACACTTACCATCGGATGTGGCCCCCAAATAGCAGAAGGAAAACCAGGATTCTGTAAGCAGAAGGTGGGCATCCAAAGTCTACCTCTGCC